ATGGGCAAAGTTTAAAAGGAAAAAAAAAAAAGAAAAAAATCAAATAGGTCTTACATGAACTCTTCATCCTTGGTAGTCCGTATTCGGCAGTAGGCATCAATAACAGCAGGTTTCCGAACTGTCTCGCACCTCACATATTCCTTCCCATCCTCATCTCGAAACGTGCGATAGATTTTGAGGCGGCGGCCAGTGGCAGAGGAATTAAGGCTGGTTACAGAGGCAGTGTCATCATCTTTGTGAGAGTTTGCTGAGGCTCCTGAAGCTGATGCTACGAGAGAGTGTTTTATTTACTTCTAATTTCTTCCACGTTGTAGAAACATCATTGTTTAAATACAGCAGATAGTTTTGGCTTAAAAACTTCCAAGACACAAATTCAGGAAAACCTAAGCAACAGAAGTCTTTCCCTTGCTTGTTCATGTTCTTGTATCATGACATATATCAATCTGAAACAAAAGCAAGCTACTTTTATCCACATGGACTATAAAGCCAGAAGGAACAGTCAACAAGGACCCACAGGTGCCTAAGTGCAACCTGTAAAGCAACTGCAACATGACCCTGCAGATTGCTCATAGTTAGAGTGGTTTTGATCACAGGTATGGAGACCTGGTAGAAACTGAAAGTCAACAGTTATCCAGTTGTCCAACTAGTGCTACAACCAGTGAGCTAGCCTTGTCTCATGTGACCACAGAATCTTTCCAGCACCATCTATAATTTTGGTGGAGAGATTTTGTTCAAAATAACACTGGATATCTTTTCATAAGGCAACAATCATAAGCAAATCTTCCACATATTCCTTACTAAATTATTCCAGTAATTACTTAAATAGCAATTTAATCCTATTCTGGGTTCCCAACAGTAACAATAATGTTGACCCAGTTGCAGCAAAGCTCAACTTTGCTCATACACATGCAACAAGTAACAGTGGCCATGAGTACCATCATACAGACAGAAGTTCATTCACAGGTCGAACACTTTTACCTGGCGGTTAGGGACATGCCAAGTTCTCTGTTGGAATGCACTTAAAACAAACGCATCTCCAGGAGATCCAAGTCTGGCAGCTGCCCAATTACCTCCCAAACACACTGCTGCAGCACACAGTACAACAGACACTGCTATGAGCCTGTGTATTGTGCCTGTTTCACATACATGGCTGTGTCTACACACAGATCCAATTAGAGTACCTTAAGTTGGTTGCAGGAACAATTTATGAACGCATCTTGGAAAAACTACTCAAAACAAACCCACCACCACCATCCCCAAAAAAGGGACACTTAAGCAGCAAGCAGCTGCTTGATCATATTAGTGAGTATTTAAAGAAATACCAGAGTAAGTTTACAGTTCAAAATAAGCAAATCTATGGAGCAAAGAAAACACTTTAAATGCATTTTCAGCCAGTAACTGCTCAGGAGAAGGAAGAAGCCCCAGATAAGCATGTCTACATTGTCTCTGTAAGGAACCCACACTCTCATCTGAGAGGCCAGATCAGCACCCTTTACAGCCTGACAAAGTTGTGCATCTCTTCCCAGGCACATTCTGGTGGCTTCAGTTACTTACATAGCCCCTTTTTGTCTCTTCTGTCCTTTTTGCCCCTCTCTTTGTCATTGCCACTGTCTTCTCCCAGAAGCATCCTTTGCAATTCCTTTCGTTCCTGCTCTTCTCTTTCCCGAGAGAGCTGAGAACTAGTTTTCTTGTTCTGTAACATATTCTCAATATTCTTTCCCATCTCTTCAAAGTCACTGTCTTCAGCTGAGCTGCTATCTGTGTCTGTTGACAGGATCTCAGTGGATTCCAGAACCCTGAAACAGGAAGCACCTTGAAAGTCAGTGAGTCCTCTCCTCGCAAAAAAAAAGAAAAAAATCAGCCTGTTACCTTCCCAGAAACAGAAAGGTAAAAACGACACAAGGTTTGAAAATTCATGTTGCAAATTACTACTACAAGAATAGCCATAACATGTTCCCTTCTCAGTCCTCCTGTAATCTCCATGTCCAAAAGATCAATTGTTCCAAGCCAATCTTCTCCAACAAGTTGATCTCCTCATCATCAACAGTGCTATATTCCCTCCCCACTCTCAGGTCTTGGGCCAGAACAAGGAACAACACATGAATTCTTCTGGCAGTTTTAAAGAACAGGACATAGAATTGGTACCTGCTACCCACACGAGGGATGGCAAACTGCTGTTAACAAAACAACAAACAAACCACAAAAAGGAAACAGAGTGCTGAACTACTGCTCTGTGGAACAGTGGAATATCTCATGCAACTCATTCTACCTTTCCAAAAGCTCTACAACAGCAAGACACTGAGGCTGGCCCAGAAGTTTCTATTAACAGCCAAAGCCCTCTTTCTCAGTGCTGTCTTTTGTGGGTCCAACCAGCTGAATCAACATCCATACCACTACATATCAGTGAGCCCCGGGCATACATAGTTCTGGATTTTTAAGGCAGGGACAGGGTGGGGTTCAAGGCTGTAAACATAAGATAAGAACTTACTTATTTTGTAAATCAAAGATGCGCTGACACTCTTCTTTGTATCTCTCCTGATGTTCTGCTACAGAAAACCGAGACCCACGTGCAAATTTGCTCATAGGACCTTCCCCTGAACGAGCCTGCTCTGTAGACATCGTACGTACCACATCAATCACTTCCCACCGGGACAGTTTCTTTATCTGGAAAGAGGAAGACAGATTAGAAATGGCTTTAGAGACACACAACTGAGGTAGCTGACTGTGGATTTCAACTCTTTCCACACAAGGTCAGAGCAGAAACATATCCATTCCTTCCACCATCAGCTTCTGAATCTGTTAGTGAAGAAGAACTCTGTAACCTGCTCCAGGTTCATGCTCACCTCCTCTTCAGGCACTCCAAATTTACGCAGAAGCTGTTTGGCATTTTTGAGAGAAAGTCGGCGCAGATCAGCATCTGTCCCAGTCACTGTCTTTTTCACTGGCTGAGGTTCTTTATCATCCTGTTCAGAGGAAGATGGCAATATATTAATGTCATCAGATAACAGTCTTTCTTAGAGTCATTTTCTGGTATTTTCTCTTCCTGAAGCCTCATATTTACTCCTTTTCTCCCACATGACTTCCCCGTTATTGTTCCTTGTCCAACTCAACCTTGGGAACTATACCTTCTGCTGAGTTGGTTTGTTTGGAATCTTCACATAAGAAAATCCTTCACCACAACCAGTAGGATCTGCTACACCGGTCACTTCTAGGAGGCACTTGCCCTTCATAGCAGCAATGAAGGCTCGTGTGGTGTTCCATGGAGCTGTTCGCACCTGCGAGCAAGAAGAGAAACATGCTCTCACAATTCTGCTACCATCGAGGAGAATTCCACACTTTTTATTTTGGATTCCTCCAATTACACTGAGAACTTTTCAACTGACATAATGAGCGTGCATCCACTTCTTGATCTTTCAGCTGCCCTGATGAAACTTCTATGAAGAACCAAACAGCTAGATAACTCACAAAAGGCATTTAAGGCAAAAAAAACTAGTCCTGAAAGGACCTGGCAAGAAGGATCCCAAAACACAGGTATAAGCTTGGCAGCATAGCTCCCAGGAAAGTCACAAGAACATCTGAACTACAGAATCCTACTTTAAGTATGACCTTTAGCCTTAAAGACCTCATTTCTCTCCTGTCATGCAGATTTGTATATTGGTATGCATGCTCATGAATCACTCTGACAATACCTCATCATCAATCTTCATTTGGAAATCCTCTTCATTCTCCTCTTCTGGCGCAAAGAAGGATTTCTCCCCGTAACCTGCATCCTGCAGAGAAATATTAGGAAAAAACGAGAACCTAAAGTCTTAAAAATGTTACTGGACAGAGATCTAGAAGCGTATTATGAATCACTTGCAGACACCTGTCACATTGAATAAGACAGTTGTTCACAAGATTCATTGTGACCCACAGTAAAACAGATGTCAAACTGCCCAGTATTTTGACGAACTCTCTAATTAAATACTGCACTCAACTTCAAAAACCAGTCTCTCTCACAGCCACATACTGGTTACTTTCTGCTGTAGGAAGGTAAAAACATAAGCCCCTTCTCATATGGCCTTCCTTTTACTACCTTTGAGCGTAGCTAACTCAATATCTAAACAATAGGTGGTAAGAATGTAATGTCCCTGTGTCTTTAAGAACTTAACTCCCTTTTTATGGAACAGAAAACTTAGCAAGCTGATTTCCGTACTTTATTTCAAAATTAGCCTTAGGCAGAAGGTGTTATCTAGCCTCATCCTTCACGGAACTACTTGTCCATAACCTGCCTTATAGCCTGCAAGGAGCATTTACCTTCAGCCGCTGCTCAGCCGCAATCATGCTGTAGTAAGCACAGCACTGTTCTGGGGATACCATTGCTCTGATCTCTTCCTCTGTCGGCAGTCGGAAATCTGGCTTTAAAACCCACCAATTTGAGTCCATCCCTGAAAAATGCACGGATCAAACACTGAGTAGTTTCTCACAGATGCTGGATTCCATCATAATCCTAACTGTATTTCAAGATTTGGTACCCTGCTTCAATGATGGCAAAAGGAGCAAGTATGACAAATCTGTGACACTTAGACCACTAAAAGTGATAGGTTTTTTCGTTCAGCATTTGTCTAAATCAATGCCCCCTAACTTAGCACCTGTTGTATCAGCAAACTCTCATGCATGCACGCTCGTTCAGTGTATAAACTACATTCCAAAAGCATTTAATCCACCTTCCACTTCCTCACCTCAAACTACTTTTCCCTGTGGCTAGGCTAAAAAGCTTTGTATTACCATCTGTTTTATCATTCTGCATACACAAAGATCAGAGCTCTATTAGACACATGAAGATGGAACAAGCTTCTACTGGCATGTATTGCTTGCAAAACACAACACAGCCATGCACAGAGGGAAGGGAACGCGTGCGTGTGTTGGTGTCGTACATTGTCACTTTACAAGTAAATCATTGCCCAAAGGGTTATAAAAAAAACCCATCCAAACTGTAGTCACTTTTCACCATCATGCACACTTATGTCAAAAGAAAATGTACATTTATAAAAACTGGAACAAAAAACCTATCAGATTACACTTTGGTTCTTGAAATAGATGTTTTCAACAGGAGGAGATGTTGCCTCCTCCTGCTCTGTTTGAAACTCCAAGAGCAGCAAAGAATGGCTGGCTGCCACATAAAATTTTTAAATACCTGTGCGTTTGAAATCAGCACAAAGCTTTAGCCGCTTTCGGATGCTACTCTCTGAGTGCGAGGGAAAGGCCTTCTTGATATCCTCCATGCGAATTCTCCGAGGACGGTCTCTGCTTTTCCAGAAGAGGCGATAAATAAAAACCTACAAAACAAGACTCATTTGTGATGTCCGAAGAAAGAATGCAACAAACCTGCAGACAGTACAGACAATGCTGTTTCTAGTGACTACTTCAGACTTCCTACTGAAAACCCATTGTTTCTTATAAAATTTACTTATTAAAGTTTTCCAAGCCACATATCTGCTTCAGGTTCAGCTATTTTTGAGAATGAGATGTGGAAAAAGTATTTGTCTTGAAATTTTGTATTATCACATTAGAAATGTTCATGCTTTGGTACAGAAACTTGAACTCTGGGATCGGCAGGGATTTTCCTGCTCTGCCAGTACCTCTTGAGTTATGATTTTGAATTAAACTGACAGTAAATTACCAGAAATTTTCTCCAAAATCTAAATTTGGGGATATTTATTTGAATGTTCAGACAGTCCCAAATTGTAATTGCCTCAAGATCTAGGAAATCAGCAAAGACCTACGAAGCAACTCTAATTCTGTGCTATGTAATAGAACTGTGATAAGATTCCTTAATTGCCTCTTAGTAAAAACCATGTAACTGTTATTTTATACAGCACAACCACTTCAAAGTTCATTCTAATTTATTGTGTTTCCTACACTTTTATATAATCTTATAACCTGTTATTTTGTCTAATAAAAAGCCTCTGTCACATCAGATAGGATGCAAGCAAACAGAAACAGCATGCTATAAATCATTGGTTAAATGACAACCAAGATGGTCTGTATGGTTAACATCCAACTCTTGTAGTGCTCTCACCTTACAACAAAAAGAACACCAAACCAAAACACAAAGGGAGCCACAGCAGGGCAACGAGCTTCTCAAATCAAAGCTGTCCAGATGAGGCCCATGCCTACGCCACGGGCTTTCTCCAAAGACCTCTCAGATCCCCAAACTGTCTCTTATCACATACCTGCAGAAAATCTCTGATATGGGTGTTAGCACGTTTAGAGTTGGGGCCAGGTACTTCATAAAGTGGGCACTCCTGGCCAACTACAAAAATATCCACTAATTCTCGAACATAATAGCCTTGCCGTGTCCGGATGATCAGGAAATCCGTTTCAGGCATCTTATGCAAATATATAGGGGCACGGAAAAGGTTGTTTTCAAATGCCTAATAAGAGAAACAAATCGAAGTTTGAGTCAGGTTTTGATCAAATTTTCTGTAACTCAATCTACAAAAAAAGATCTGGGAAAAAAAATGGTACACCATCATTTGTATCACAATATATGTAGATGTGCAGTCAGAATATTTTTTGCTTATGCAGAGAATAACCCAGGATGAAGCACAAAAGCATAAGGAGACCTAGAACAAATGCAGAAAGAGTCTGAAGGGCTCTTTGAACTGACCTTAAAGGGGGTACTTCAAAAAGGCACAGAAAGAACACATATGCAGAAGAACACTATAGCCACAGAAACCAGCCCAAGACACATGCACAGTCTGGGAATGGGAGAAGGCAACAGAAGCAAGGACTGAAGACTTTGCTCCGGAAAGAATGTTGTAAAAACCTAACTAGAAAAGTAGAGAGCAACAGAGTTCAGCATTTAAAGGTAAGAAAGTTTAAACTAGCACCAAGGAGGCACCAGACCGAGTGAGTGGAACTGGAAAGACCATCCTCTTGTATAAGTGGTTTTCTCCACCCATAGGGCTTCCACAAGCCTTACCCACTGTTACTCTCCCACACTACCCTCATCCACATGGCAAAGCTTTCCCTGAGATGGCCCTGTCCTCACTTCAAGTTTTCCAGAAGTCTTGTTTTGTACACGATGAAGTCCTGTTTTACCCATTATGAAGTCCTGTTAGGCTTGAATAATCACCATTGCCAGTTCAGCAATGAATCTCTAATATCAACCTTCATCTTACTTTTTTCCTGTGGCACAGCATGGACAGAATTACTGCTGCAGCAAGAGCAGCTAGCATTAACTGAAATAGATTTTTTTTTTTACATTTATCATAGATTTTGTAACCAGGTGGTCTTTACCACATTCTTAATTCCTCTCTCCATCTCAACTGATGTATTTCAATAAGAGAAAGGCTCATAAAAGCAGACACACCTGAATAGTAACTGGCATCCAGCAGACAACTAGCAGTGCAATTCTCAGAAAGTACACATAAGGTTTTGTTCACACATCCTGGACCATGACAAATTCACATTTACTGTGCCCTCCAGTACCTATTTACTGAGCTCCCCAACATTCAAGCAGTTTTGGCTTCCACTCAGTCCTCTCTGGCAGTACTTCTAATGCCATTACAAAGCAAAGCAGCAAAGATTCACTTCCTGCAATTCCTATCATTCCTACAACAATTTTTAAAAACACACAACAGAGAGGTATTATAAGGAAAAAATCCAAGAACTAAATTATCATCAGTAAACAAAGAGACAAACTGGAAACGAAACTGAATCTGGTTTTTTTTGGAAGTTGAGCATTATTTGTGATTCTTTCAATAAACATGACATGAAACATTCTGCCTATTATTTTTCAATTTTTCAGTCCCCTTATGCTTGCTTTTCTCACCTGCAGTAACTGGCCCGGATGCAGAGAACCCAGGAACGGAGAAGTGTGACAATAAACAGTCTCTCCATATTTACAGTCTGGAGCTCCCGGATCTTTGCCAGGTTTCTGCAACATGCAATGGAGGTGCAGTTAGCACTCAGAGAGGCAGAAGAAAATCACTGTCCAACAGCGAAAGCTGCATACTCACCCTTTTGTAGTAATTTTTAATCTTTGTTGCCATGCCAACCTGCATCATTAAAGGGGCATTCTCCTCACTGTATTCAGCAAGGATGAGATCTCCATCCTTTCCAGTTAGGTCCTGTGGTGTGCGCATGAAGAACATTTCACCCCCACCAGAAGCTTGACGCTCCTGCTCTCTCATCTGTGCCAGTGAAAAGACAGCGTTTGGAAAACAGCACATCAAACAGATCTGCTGTGCAAATGGAGCCACAGCAGACATCAGATACAAAGAAAAATAACTACCTTGGCTTTCTTTTTTATGTGCTTCAGCAGAGGTTGCACAGCATGGGGCCCTGGCTGGGACAAGGCACCAAAAGAGTATTTCTTCAGGGGAGGCCGATGAAATTGTCGGAGTTTCATAGGACCCATATGGGTGGGAAAGAACGGCTGCCGAAGTTCTACTGCTGGGATAGAGTGCTAATGCAGGAACAAAATGCATGTTAAGAATGACACATACCATCTCAAAACCAAGACCATCCTCCTATCCCGCTAACCCTTATATAACAGAACCTAGTAATATTTTTAGCCTGCTAGCAGTAGCACTAGTGCATTGAAAGTCACTTGTTATCATATGTATTGTCTTTTGACAGAAAGTGCTTAGGTCCATACCTAGATCTTTCCTTTCTATACAGAGATTACTTTAATTTTACTGTTTCAAATGGTACTCAATGAGAAGATTTTTTTATTAACTACAAGCATGCAAAGCCATTATCCCTATCAGCGGGAGAGAAGTACATTTGGAATTACATACATTTTTCCCATTACAGAAGAGGCTGGTGAGGAGAGGTTTTAGAAGTTAGGTGAGAGGTTTTAGAAGGTGAGGTGAGGTTTTAGAAGAGGTCCCTCTTCCAAATGAAGGAGGAAAAAAGTACCACCTCTTCACCTAGGGCTAGTGAGCAGCAGTTTCAATTCATAATTATCTAAATTATTTACACAATATCCAGATTAAAACACACACTAGTAGCAGTACAGCCTCACCTCTTAATTATCTGCACCACTTCCCCCCCTCCCACTATGCTTCAGAAAGACTACTACAGAAAGAAACACCAAACAAAAGGATGGCAAGTATGACACAGCAAAATCTAGCATATAAACCTCAGCGTGATGGGGCAACCGAGAAAAGTTAGTTTTAGTTAGTTAGTCCTTTATAATCATTTTAATTAAACAACATTAAAAATCTCTAGTCTTAAAGGGGTGTGGGGGGGTGGGGATAATAACAGGCTTGCCTAAGGCACGCTGACAGCACCTGAAGAGCAGCAGTAAGAAATTCCAGCCACTCCAGCTAGGAAGTCAGATTCATCTGGG